TGCACAGAAATCAGTGGCATTCCTATACACCAACAACAAGACAGAAGAAAGAGAAATTAAGGAGTATATCCCATTTACAATTGCACCCAAAACCATAAGGTACCTAAGAATAAAATCTAACCAAAGAGGCAAAGGATCTCTACTCAGAAAACTATAAAATACTCATGAAACAAACTGAGGAAGACACAAAGAAATGGAAAAACGTTCCATGCTCAAGGATTGGAAGAACAAATATTGTGAAGATGTCAGTGCTACCTAGAGCAATCTACACATTCAATGCAATCCCCATCAAAATACCATCCACTTTTTTCAAAGAAATAGAACAAATAATCCTAAAGTTTGTATGGAACCAGAAAAGACCCCAAATAGCCAGAGGAATGTTGAAAAGGAAAAGCAAAGCTGGCGGCATCACAATTCTGGACTTCTAGCTCTATTACAAAGCTGTCATCATCAAGACAGTATGGTACTGGCACAAAAACAGACACATAGATCAATGGAACTGAACAGAGAGCCCAGAAATGGACCCTCAACTCTATGGTCAACTCATCTTCGGCAAAGCAGGAAAGAAGGTCCAATGGAAAAAAGACAGTCTCTTCAACAAACGGTGTTGGGAAAATTGGACAGCCACATGCAGAAGAATGAAACTGGACCATTTTCTTACACCACACACAAAAATAGACTCAAAATGGTTGAAAGACCTCAATGTGAGACAGGAGTCCATCAAATTCTAAAGGAGAACGCAGGCAGCAACCTCTTCGACCTCAGCCGCAGCAAGTTCTTCCTAGAAACATCGCCAAAGGCAAGGGAAGCAAGGGCAAAAATGAACTATTGGGACTTCATCAAGATAAAAAGCTTTTGCACAGAAAAAGAAACAGTCAACAAAACCAAAAGGCAACCGACAGAATGGGAGAAGATATTTGCAAATGACATATCAGATAAAGGGCTAGTATCCAAAATCTATAAAGAACTTATCAAACTCAACACCCAAAGAACAAATGACCCAATCAAGAAATGGGCAGAAGACATGCACAGACATTTTTCCAAAGAAGACATCCAAATGGCCAACAGACACATGAAAAAGTGCTCAACATTGCTCGGCATCAGGGAAATCCAAATCAAAACCTCAATGAGATATCACCTCACACCAGTCTGAATGGCTAAAATTAACAAGTCAGGAAACGACGCATGTTGGGGGGGATGCAGAGAAAGGGGAACCCTCCTACACTGTAGGTGGGAATGAGAGCTGGTGCAGCCACTCTGGAAAACAGTATGGAGGTTCCTCAAAAAGTTGAAAATAGAGCTACCATACGATCCAGCAATTGCACTACTGGGTGTTTACCCCAAAGATACAAATGTAGGGATCCGAAGGGGTACGTGCACCCCGATGTTTATAGCAGCAATGTCCACAATAGCCAAACTGTGGAAAGAGCCAAGATGTCCATTGACAGATGAATGGATAAAGAAGAAGTGGTATATATATACAATGGAATATTATGCAGCCATCAAAAGGAATGAAATCTTGCCATTTGCAACGATGTGGATGGAACTGGAGGGTGTTATGCTGAGCGAAATAAGACAATCAGAGAAAGACATGTATCATATGACCTCACTGATATGAGGAATTCTTAATCTCAGGAAACAAACTGAGGGTTGCTGGAGTGGGGGGTGGGGTGGGAGGGGTGGGGTGGCTGGGTGATAGACATTGGGGAGGGTATGTGCTATGGTGAGCACTGTGAATTGTGCAAGACTGTTGAATCACAGATCTGTACCTGTGAAACAAATAATGCAATATATGTTAAGAAAAAAAAAAAGAAGAAGATAGCAGGAGGGCAAGAATGAAGGGGGGGAAATTGGAGGGGGAGACGAACCATGAGAGATATTGGACTCTGAAAAACAAACTGAGGGTTCTAGAGGGGAGGGGGGTGGGAGGATGGGTTAGCCTGGTGATGGGTATTAAAGAGGGCACGTTCTGCATGGAGCACTGGGTGTTATGCACAAACAATGAATCATGGAACACTACATCAAAAACTAATGATGTAATGTATGGTGATTAACATAACAATAAAAAAGTGTCTGTGCAACAACTCAAAAAATAAAAAAAATCAGAGTTAAAAAAAAAAGAGTAAATGGCAAGCTCTATTTTCAGTTATCACTTGAGAACTTTATACTCCACTATTTACTGTTGCTAATGAAGATTCGAAAGAAAAGAAGTAATTTCTTAGCACAAGCTCAGCTTCAATATAATTAACAAAGTACCGTGCTTATTCATAAAAACCCGTGAAAAGAACTTAATATGCTTATTCATAAAAACCCACGAAAGAACTTAGTATGTTAAATGTTGAAGAAGTCTTTCTTTTAAGGGGTAACACTTTTCAGAAAAACTCCCACACAAGGTAATGTATTCCTCCCAAGACATCACAGCCAAAACCTAAGCATGGGAAAGTTCCTTAGAGGACATCCAGGGCAAACTCCTACCCATCTTACAGGAATTCCTGCTACAGCAGTTTTGACAAGTAGCTCTCCAGAGTCTGCATGAATACTTCTACTAACTGGGATGTGGGGTTTACTATCTATGGACCAGTCCGTTTTATTGCAGGTGAGCTCTGACTGTAGAAAAGTTCTTCCTGCTGATCTATGTTCTTAAAATTTCCATCTACCTGGTATAAAATTTATACCACTGGTTATAGTTCTAGCATCCATAAGCACCTCAAATTCCAACTCTTCTGTTCCCTAGTTGGAAGTAGTAGCTGAGAACAACAGAGCAAGTCCCATCACTCTATGACTTGCAGGGGTGGGGGAAGGGAGGGGAGAGGTGTGACAGAGCCATGGAAAAGGAGACGGAAGACAACCAACCAAATATTTGGTTCACAAGGATATTTTATGTCGGATTCAGTGACAAACACAGATACAATCCAAGACTATGAAATACAAAAGATAATGTGGATTTATGTGGTGTATGTGTATTTGTGTTTGTATATGTGTATCTGTAGATGCACGTGTGTATATTATTGTAACACACACATCTGAGTGTGACTATATGTACAGCTGACCCTTGAACAACAGGGATTTGAACTATGTGGGTCCACTTATACACGGATCTTTTTGGATAAGTAGAGCATAGTACTGTAAATGTCTTTTCCTTATGGTTTTCTTAATAACATTTTCTTTTCTCTAGCCTAATTTATTGTGAGAATACAGTATATAATACATATAACATATAAAATATGTGTTAATAGGCCACTAATGTTATTGGAAAGGTTTCAATCAACAATAGGCTATTAGTAGTTAAGTTTTGGGGGAGTCAAGAGTTCTATGCAAATTGTCAACTGCATGGGGGTCAGCACCCCTAACCCCACCCCGTAACTCAAGGATCAACTGTATATATGTATGTGGTACATGTGTATACATGTGAGAATGTCTATGTATGTGTGTGTGTGCATATGAATATGTATGTATAAAATGCCAAGTCAGCTAATAGAAAAATCTTCAAACTGTCTTCAATAAGGAATGCACATGAGTTTTTAGGGTATTATTTTTAACAATATAAAATATACACAGCTGCTAAGCATTTCAGGAGTTGTTAACAGACCAGAGAGGATGAAGGGAATGCAACATACTTACGTTTATATTATGGTAAAAATATGATTATTTCAAAATAGCTGAGTCATTAAATGTTAAACTTATTATCTAGACATTTGCTATCAAGTAGATGAAGAAGTTCTCAACCAGTAAGTCAAAATCAACCAGTAGATCACTCTACCAAGTCTCTTTCTGCAGGTTTCTGATGGCCTTGTTAGCATGGGAGGGGCAGGCAGCAAAGCACCTTCTTGGGCGCAGCTCAGAACCGACCCTCTCAGGCCTGAGCAGCACTCGGCCTACGCTACACCTCAGAGAGCCAGAAAGTAACAGCTCCTCACGGGGTCGGGGCTGCCCTGAGGTGAACACAGCCCCCACTGGTAGGACACTAAATGATTAAAAAAGAATTCAAATATGTTCACTAGATTTCAAGATAAGGAATATCTTGAGATGGGGTGCCTGGGTGGCTCAGTCGTTAAGCGTCTGCCTTCGACTCAGGTCATGATCCCGGGGTCCTGGGATCGAGCCCCACATCGGGCTCCCTGCTCAGTGGGGAGCCTGCTTCTCCCTCTCCCACTTCCCCTGCTTGTGTTCCCCCTTTCACTGTCTCTCTCTCTGTCAAATAAACAAATAAAATCTTAAAAAAAAAAAAGAAATATCTTGAGATATTTCAAGATATTCAAGAGAACAAACCCACGGAAAATTTTTCCATAAACATAGAAACAAAAGAAAAAACAGTTTGGGTAAATTGCTAGGATATCTGGTTAGTAGAACCCTGTCTGGAATTAATCAAATGTTACTGAATTATATTCACCAAAAAGAATAAAGCTCTTTTAGATCTAATAAGGCAAAATGATAAACATATATAAATAGTTTTAGTTATCATAAAATTGGAAACAAATAACTGGATAATGTAAAAAATCTTTTCCTAGATAATACATAAAATCATTCCAAGTTGTATAGCCTGGTAAAGCACAAAATTATTAACTTTGACCCATGGGCCAAATATCACACACCATTCTGTTTTTGTAAATAAAGTTTCGTTGGTACGTGGCCATGTTCATTCATTTGCTGTCTATACCTATTTTCATACTGTCACATCAGAGGTGAGAAGTTGTGACAGAGACTATTAGGACCCACAAAGCCTAAAATATTTACTCTCTGTTCCTTTATGGGAAAAGTTTGCAGACCCCTGCCCGACATAATCATAGATCTTAGAATAAACATGTAGGCTACCCTGCTAAATCACAATAGCATTAAGAGAGGTGAGAACTTTACTTGCTTTGTCATGTAGGTCCTTCCTTACAGACCAAAAACAAAAAAAGACAGAGTTGCAAAAGTTGTTCCAAGTGTTGTGAAAATCTTTTACAGTTTGGAGAAATGGAACAATTGTTCTTCCTACTTGTTCTGTTGGTCCCTCCTACCTGTTTCTCCTCCTCTTCATCTGAAGTGCTACTGATATCCTGGACATTTCCACTGGGGCTGCCGGGTTGGTAATCTTTCAACTTCTCTTGAATGGACCAGTTGTCCTTTTGATCTGTTGTATTTTCCTCATCACTTTCTGGATTATTTTTCCATTCCTTCATCATTTCTAACACATTGGTTGGTCTTGCTGAAGAAAGCATATTGCCCTAATATTAACAATGAATTTTTGGTGTTAGAAACAGTTTAGAAAATTGAAAAGATTTTTACAACTTTGAGTAATACATCTTCCTAAATTCAGTAAGTCACTTGGAAAAACCAAAATGCTGAATAAACAGCAAAACTTCTGTTGCCCTTTGGAGCATCCTCCCTGTGCTGATATGGCTCATGCCTCTTGACTGAGATCATGTGCAACAGGTTAGGGTTTGGGGGGAAATATTAGGGTTTGAAAGAACAATGCAACATGCTCATGCAAAGGACACTAGATATGGGAATTCCCTGGAATCTGAAGACCCCCTTATAGAGCGACTCTTAGAAAACTAACAGGGAAGCAGAAAGAAGGAAAAAAGTTGCCCCCAGTCTGGTGGGCCCAACACTAAGGGCAAGCTTATATAACATCAAAATCTCCAGGTAGGAAAGCTAAACTCATTAAGTAGTTAAACACTGTGTCCAAGAAGAGAGATGTTTGATTTGAAAGTTTTTTAGTTGACTAGAAGATTTAAATATAAAGTGGCCATGATTATAACTGATTCAGCACACTGCTTTAATCCCAAATGTGACCATACCAAACCAAAATTGACTGTTTTATATTAATAATGTTTTTCTCAAAAATAATATTCCACTTAATAACAAGAAATACATGAATGCAGTCTCAAATGGCTCCTGAGAGAGTAGGTATGCTTTAAATATTTTTGCTCCTAGGAACTCAGACTAGTAGAGAAGGTTTAGACAAGTTTAGATCACATTTAGATTAAAAAGGGAAACACAAGTGTGGGCACAGCTATGAAGTGATTCTATGTTAATTTGGTATGTGGGTGGATTGAAGCATTAAGCATCAGTGACGCAGAATACTATGAAACAGAGCACTTTAAGGGTAGACATCAGAGTACACTGTTGAGGATTTGTAGAGTTTAACATATTTGTGGTTAAAGACATAGACACACATTAAGTATAGAACGGTAATAACTGAGGATCATTATGCAACTAATTCCTCGTGGTTCTTCTATTTCATCCTGTTTTAAGAAGTTCTTTTTTTTTCTGTTTTAAGAAGTTCTATATTCTTACTACTTTCATAGCATCCTGCTTTTGGTTACATCTACCCATAGCATCCTCTACCCATTCACTCCCAAAATGCCCTTACCATGCCTTCTGCCAACCCATAGCCTACATTTCCTCCAAGGCTCAATTTGAGAGTCATCTCTGTCAAGCATCCCAGAACTTTAAAAAATGTTGTCAACTTAAACTCAGATGAAATATAGACTGAGTCTTGAGACCATAAAAGAGTTGGAATTGTCTAGAATAGTAGAGTCTCTGATCGCTCATCTGAAAGAGTTCTGACCTCCAGGGCTCTGCCAATAGCCCTGTTTGATCCTTATGATCCATCTAGCCTCTATTACAACTTTCTGGTTTCATCCTGACCTTTGTTCCTAATTTTCATGTAATCACAATATCCTTTCTTCTAGGCATGTTGTAGAATTCTGTTCTCTATATCTTTTGGGATATGACTATGTGACTTGTTTTGGCCAGTGAAATGTTATCGGAAATAGTATATATCATTTCTGGGTGGAAACTATAAGAGATAGCGTGTAATTTATCATGTTCCCTATCCCTACCTTCATAACTATAGAAGCACAGAGATGGAGCCTCCCTCAGCCTGGGTCCCTGAGTGAGGACAAAGTAAAACAAAGCCTCCTCCCCTCCTCCCAGCCAATCTGTGCCATGGCATCGAGACCACTGAGATTTGGGGGTCATTTGTTACCACAGCATAATTTAGCCTATCCTGATATAAATAGCAAATTAAACATTTGCATTCTGTAAGTCACTTCCAAAAAGCCCTTAAAAAGAGTGAGCCAGTGTACAACCAGCATACCCAACAAAACTGTAATTACTACAGAAATCCTATCCCAGTAGTACCCTGTGACAGCCCATTTGTTTAGTCAGTCCTTGCTTTGCACAGTGCTCATATGCATGAATGTCAGTTATCATGACTTAGTTACAAATAATCTCAGTCCCCCAATAATATAGTTCAAATTTCAGTCACCGTGGTATGTTATCAATAATTACATAAAGTTCGAACTTCACTGCTAGCTCTTCCAGCCACAATCACCATGTAAATTACAGATGTGCAATGTGATCAGTGACGAGTCATGTCACTTCTTTCATGGTCTGTTGGTGATGGGACACTGGGCATCCGCTCCTCAGTTCACACACAGACAGCAAAGTATGCAGTCGTGTTGCCTCCTTGCCTCCCCAGGAATCTGCCAGCTAAGATGAAAGTGCATCAAGTAGATGAAAAGTGATCATGCTGGAAGTGAAATCTGAATCAAATGTCAATGGAGTAACAGAAGAAGTAGCTGACCTTGGAAACTGCCACTGCCACCGTTTGAGAGAACCTAGATATGCAACCAAAGGAACCTGGTGAAGGCAAACTTATGAACAGAAATGAGAAGAAAGTGGTGTGCAGAAAGGACAGAGGTGCCCTGGAGAAAGTGATGCCCGCAAAGAAGGTATCATTTAAAGGATTTTCAGAGATAATTCATGACATTGAAAGCACAAAGGATAAGATGTTGGAAGTTGATCCAAACTTAGAGAATAGTATTAGGACTCACTGAAGTATAAAAAAAGATGCTCCCCTCTGTATTGTAAGTTATAGGACAAGGAGAAGAAGGTAAGCACTGTTTAAACTGATTTTGATAAGTTTTTCTAAAAAAAAAATAAGACACTTCAGTTCTTAATATTTCTAATGTTTTAAATTACAATGCACTAAGAAAAATCAGTTTTCCTTTTGTTTCATTTCCCAAGTATTAGAACCAACAGTTAGTTTTTATTATTTAACAAAAATTTTTAAAGGGCATGGAACAATCGTAATTTTCCCCAATAATTATTAAGATCCTTTTGCAGTTTCAACCTGCATTGTTATTTTTATGGTCCTGCGCTACTATACAAAGCAAGGATTCCCTGTATTATCTTGAATCTGCATCTCTAGCAATCTTTCAAATGCTCATAATACACGTAAGAGCTTGATGACTGATACTCTATATGCCTAAAGTAGAGTGCCTTTGTACTCAAAGAAATGACCCTATTTCTCATTCCACAGAGATTGTGAAGAAGAGAAAGGATTCAGAATAGGACATTATCCCCTCAGAAACACCCTACTATTTGGAAATCTTTAGCTCTTTGCTTCCTACATTCATGTGTGATATCAAACAGGGCACAAAGTCTAAAGTCCAGTCAATAACTTACTAGACTACCCCCTTCTTGCTTGCTAGCAGCTGGAGGAGGAATTGTATCAAATGCTTGGATAGGGCGCCTGGGTGGCTCAGACGGTTGAGCGTCTGCCTTCGGCTCAGGTCATGATCTCATGGTCCTGGGGTCGAGTCCCCCATCGGGCTCCCTGCTCCTTGGGAGCCTGCTTCTCCCTCTGCTTCTCTCTCTCTGTCTCTCATGAATAAATAAATAAAATCTTTAAAAAAAAAAAATGCTTGGACAGACCTATGAATAAGTGGGCCAGGGCTCTGTGTCATGAGCCTTCTAGGTTCAACAGAAATTACAAATGAACCAACCAACAAACAAAAATGGGCAGAATTATTAGGGCAGACACTGTAAAGTGTATGTCATTTTACTATCAGGACACTAACCTCTGAATTCCTTTTACTGGTTGTAATCAGAGTCAGATACTGAACTTATCAACTGTGAAGTAGTAAATGGCAAGAAGGCAGCAGTAACACGTCAATAATCTGAGACTTTCAAAAATAGAACACCCACATTCTGGTTACTAAACTTCTACTTGGTTAACTAACAGAGGGTTGAGACTATTTTATTTTGAAAAATGGAAAAATGAATACTCATGGAGAAGAAGCATTGGCAAAAACTAAGATTTGATTTAATACCTTAGTATTAAGTGGAGACCAAAATTGGAGATCTAAACATATGTCCCTATCTAACATACTTCGCCTGTTCAAGGACTGTGACTATCAGTATTTTATAAACAGTAAGTATTTAATGAGTAGTTTTGAATGAATGAATAAATGAACGAATGATATTTATGAGCTGGGGTGAGGTGGTATGAAACATAAAATTAGCAAAGCTAGGGGCACCTGGGTGGCTCAGCTGGTTAAGCATCTGTCTTTGGCTCAGGTCATGATCCCGGGAGTCCTGGGACTGAGTCCCATGTGGGCTCCCTGCTCAGCGGGGAGCCTGCTTCTCCCTCTCCCTTTCCCCCTGCTTGTGCTTTCTCTCGCTCACTCGTTCTCTTTGTCAAATAAATAAATAAAATCTTTTTTTAAAAATGGCAAAGCTAAAAGGAAATATTCTAGGTCTTTAGCTTCAGGTCATCATTTCCACTTTTTGTAAATAGCCAGAACTCTTTATTTTGTAATATTCCTAAGGTTTTTTTGTTTTTTGTTTTTTTACTTGAGTATAGTTGACACCTAGGAATAAAATTTTTTTCAATAGGAAAATGGAATAATCACTTTATAAAAAAAACATAAAAGGCTGCTCAACTTCACAAAATTAACAAAACCCAAATCAAAACAATGAGATGCCAGTCTTCACTTAATAGATGGACGTAACTTTAAGTTTGGTAATACTCTGTGTTGGTGAGGGTGTGGGCAAACAGGCTTTCTCATTTACTGGCTTTTTATGGGAGGGCAAATTAGCAATAACCTATCAAAATGTATAATGCACCTCCTCTCTGACCAGTAAGTCCACTGTTAAGAATTTACCTGATAGCACAGCATGCAAACATATATTTATAAGAACATTTGTTGTACCACTGCTAGAATAGAAATAATCTGAAACAATTTACATGTTCCATATTCATAGGGGACTACTTAGAACATAATAGTGTATCCATAATTTGGGATCCAATGCTGCTTTTTAAAAAATAAAGAAATCTTTCCAAGATACATTAGGTAGAAAAGAATAGCTTGCGTAGTATGAACCCGCTTGTGTAAGGTATATACATAAAAATGCATAGAATTACTTCTGA